AATCAGCTTTTTGGATTCAGTGCATGAATTTGGTGAGCTACACACCATGATTGAAGTTAACTTGATTTAAAGTGTTCCCCTCTGAGTTTATCATGGTACAGTATCAGCTTACATTGTGCATGTACATGTAGGCACATATATACATGTACCGTATCATTGGTCTCTTGTAATATTGGGATGTGAAATGTTGGTTATTATGCAGTAAACCCCAAACCAGTAACAAAATCTTCTTAATATCGGTACATGTACAGTACATGCACACGTGTGTCCACAGTGAATTTTAAACAAGCCTTAGTCATTACTCCATTAATACAAGGGAACCGGAGCATGAACAGGTATGACTGAAAGCATTCAAAAGCCATCTGAAATATTGTAATGAGACTGCATTTTACAAAGATTTAGTGTCTAGTGAGATACAGTGTACATATACATGCTCAGCGATTACTCGTGTACACATACATGTACAGCTCTTGGCAAAGCAAATCCTGTGCACTCTGGTTATGACAAAACTTAAGACCCCATACACTGTACATTGTCAAACTTGGTGCTTTACACATGGCACTGGTATAATGTACTTGTACATACTTTATTTAAATCTCGTACCGTTAATTTACCCGGTGAGTCACGATTTGCTTGATTTTGTAATAAAAGGTGCACTGTATTAATAAAGGAAAATAAGCACATGTGCCCTGGTACATGTACCATACCAGTATAGCTTAGAAAATTTACTTGCTTTGGAAGAGATACTGTATTTATGTACTGGCTTGCCTCCAATTTAAAAAAAGAAATTTAAAATATCTGATTTAAATTTAAATATTAGATTTAAATGAAAAGGAAAGATTTTTTTGATTTAAAAAATGTCAGGTTCACATTGCGCTGTTTGTTATACCACGTCAATAATAGATTGTGAAATTGATTGGTCATGAATTAGTAATGTGTATGTCACAAATGCGCATATACAGGTTGTATACAAAGAGCACAGAGCACAAGAACATGAGCGATGTTTGCTGTGGTACGTGAGTGATGCACATGTACATGTAATCTTACCCCATGTCACCTTGATCTTGCCGCGGTTGAAAATATCATTTCTACTGTGTTGTATTAGCTTGACCTTCATACGAGGTTGTACAAAATTGGATGGAGTGTTGGCCAAGAGGCCTCTGAAGTACATGTACATGCAAGATGTTTGCCGCAGTCACAAACAACTCCAGTTGATTCACAGTTTACAAATGTCAATGACTTTCTAATAAAAACAGCATAAAATATGGCACGGGTACAGTAAAAAACAACTGGCCTGAGCAGTGTACAAACTACAAGAAGGTTGAATGTTTCATGTTTGATATTACACTGAGGTGAACAAGGGTGCTGGAAAATGCTGATAAATATACATGTACTGAGCATTGATGTACATTGCACATACATGTACATACATGTATGTACATGTACATTGTACATGTACATACATGTATGTGTTTGTATAATTCAGGGTTCTCCAAGGACTTGTACGGAACTGCAGAAGATTGTGGAGGATTTGAAGTTGGTGTCCCAGGATTTGCAAAGCCTCTGCAATATCAGTATGCTCCATTTTGAAAATCTCCAAGTCTGACACTCTGACATTTGTCCAACTATATGAAGGGATTTGTTCTTCATTTTAATGTGAAAGTTTGGAAGTTCACCCAAACAAGAAATAAAACAATACTTGAGGCCCAAAAATATTTTGATAAACCAAAATTACTTTTTGAGGAAAATGTTTTCATGCGTGTACATGTCCTGGTGCAATGTACGATACCATATGCTGGGGCACATGTTCATGTACATCCATGTATTTATGCAAATATGGGATAGGAAGGCTGACTTGTACACTTTAATCTCAACTCTAGGCGAAATAATACAAAGAATGGAATGAAATATTCCATTATTAAAATGAAATATTCCATTTTTAAAAAATGCATTGAAAAATACCTGAAGAATCTTTATTAGTGTAGCTGCAATGATATTTACTCAAGACGCATTCATTTCCTGCAACTCTGTACTCTTCTTGAATGCTTGAAAACTCTTTTACAATCCTGTTGGTTGAATGCATTGGAAAGTACATGCTTTCCTGGACGATTGAGGGTGCTATTGCTGTGATGCAATAATTCGGATGCAGCCGTGGCCCGTGTCTGATTAGTCAGTGGTGCTGTTCCGTTCACCACCTTTTCCTTATATTGAATGGAGCTTTGCCCTTTCCCAGTGCACGTGTCCAATAGATGGATCGAGAATGAACTAGCCTTGCACGAATTCCAAGACTGAAGAAGGGTAAGGTTGGGACCTTTTCTCGCGTAATTTTTTGGTGCTTTTTGTTTACATTCCCCTCTCATATAAAAAAAAAGGGGGCAGATGCATTTTGCAGGGTCGGGCGGGGATGATCACCAATTTATTTTCTTTACATGGCCTAAGGTTAGATGAGATGCACAGGTGTATTTTGAAGGTTATTATTAACACAGATTGATTACAGCCACCCTTTGAATGAGCAGCAGCTCGATTTGAAAAACTTCCATAGCGGAGTTTTGATTATTTCAGAATCAGTTTGCTTTGCCGAACTCACCACATCACCGCAAAATGTCCCACGGTGAGATACAGGAGACAACGCAGTTGCTATCGCGCTTCAGAAACACAAACGCATGATTGCAGATTACTGACTCCCAGCCTGATTCCAACTGAAATCTCCAGTGTAGCGAAGCCAGAAAATAAAAAAAAAAAGAGCATCATTCCTCTGTGACGCCTACCAGCATCTTTCCACATTTGCGTACCATACATCTCGAGTGGCCATCAGCGTTGTTGGCTAAAAGAAGATGCCAATATTTTGTAATTCTTTGTTTTCTATCAGCTCTATCTGATGGGGCGACACACAGGGGGTGACACAGCAGACATTGGGTGGCGTAATATCGTCCCCCCCTCTTGTTGCAAGCTGCCAGCGCATCTTTGTTTGAAGCATATGTACCACAAATGGGGGCAATGTTGCTTGCATTTTAAAAGGTCCGGTGTGATTTTGGACTTTGCTTAATCCGAGTGCGCTCAGAAGAGAAATTGCATACTTGTAGCATGAACAGTTTAGCTAGTACCCGTACATGCACACGTGTAATTCCGCTTCCCACTTGCCCCAGGTGTGGTGTTGTTTCCAGCCAAAAGTACAGACATTTTCAAACAGTAAGATACCACATCCATAGTCCCTTGCCAAAGTTTGACTTTATTAAGTTGACCTTTGATGGTCAGTTGTTCAAGATTTGCAAGCCATATCTCACCGCATTGGCTTTTTTTTTCAAAGCTCTGGGACAGTGCAGCGAGGTAATATTTACTACCTTACTAGGGTACACCTGGCCATGGCCACTCAAGTGTTGGGAAGAGTGTGTAGACAGATGTCCCCCTGATGCTGCATACCGAATTATACCAGAAAGCATTTCAATGTTCTCCGTGTTATGAAAAAGGAAATCCCTACATGTTTAAACGATTGAAGTGTTTGCGAGCTAAATGTGTCTCGTGACCAGCATTGACCTGTGTCGACTGGTGCTCTGCCGATTTCTTGTTCAGTAATGTTTTTCTGCTCAGGAGCTCCTTGAGATTGGCCGTGTTCTTGGAATCTAGAAATCTGATCTCAATGTTTTGTACACTTTGTGCCCAACTTGTGCATTATAGTACATTACATGCACATACATGTACATGTACGGTACCATACATGTACATGTACAGTGTGTGCACAGCAAGATTACAATGTACATGTATGTTGCTGATGAGGATAATTCCCCCCCCCCAAAAAAATTACTCACAGAAAGTGTCTTTGTTTGCCACAAAATCGACGATCTTGCATTGTATAGCCTACTCTTTTGCCCAGAACAATCAGAAAGTGATCTACTGTACATGTATGTTACAAATTGTCAGGGTTCTATTACAAATGTATTATTTATTTTCATTTGCTTCACGAGTGTGAGATGGTGGTAGTAACAAAAGAAAGAAATCTGAGGTGATTACAGTCACATTAATCCTACTGGTCCTCAGTCCTTTGCCTGTTACCGGTACAGGACTGGGGACTGTCACCTACCCGTACATGTTTGCTCGGTCCATGGGTCACAGGGCAGTGAGTGGGCCACCTGACGCTTGAACTGAGCCCAATTTCATAGAGCTGCTTAAGCACGAAATTTGCTTAAGCGGGCAAAAACTTTGCTTGGTAAATAAAGGTTGCCAGCTCAAACTCTATCTGATTGTCATGCTAACCAAAAAGTACAATCCCAAAACATTCATCACATGGAGATTTGGCTGGTTACCTGATTTATCAAGTAAGGTTTTCTCACGCTTAAGCAATTTTTGTGCTTAAGCAGCTCTATGAAATTGGCCCCAGGGTTGGGGGTGGAGGATTTGATGTACAACTTAATACCGTACATGTACGTTGTCACATCTTCCTCCACTTTTTTTCTCTGAAGCCAGTTCGATGATCCTACAGGAAACAATAAACTCTTTATAATTTCCGGAAAAGGCCAGGTTTTGTAACCTCGGCATAATTGATTGAGGAACTGGCTAACAAGTCAAGGAATTAGGTTTTCCTGTATTTGCCGGCAGTGTCAATGATTGTCAGTGCATCTTGCCAATTTTGCTGTTTCTGTGGGTGATTTGCTCTAGTGGTGAAGAACTCAACCAACAAACCTCAGAAGTTTGGGATGGTTCTTGCAGGACTCGGCAAACCCTTGTTGAAGAAAAGTCTCCATCATAGGTCTCATTGCAGTTCAGTGTCATTTTTTCTTCAACCGCCTGATCTAATTAATGCAGGGATGCCAGTCTTCAGGCAATTCCATGTAAAAATGTTGGGCTTATTTTCAAACATTAACAGGGTAAATGTAAGCTTCTCTGGCTTTAATCTCAGCCTCAGTACAAGAGCCTGGCTGTCATCCCTGTCGATCATATTTTGTTCCCGACAAAGTGACAGTGACTCATGATTTTGTGTTGTTTCTTCCCCTCTCCTGGGACAGTTTGCGGCAGCATGGACATCCGCAACAAGGTGGACAACTTCAAGGAGCTGGAGAACTGCAGCGTCATTGAGGGCGACCTGCACATCCTCCTGATTGAGGAGGCGTCGCCGGGGGACTACGACCACCTCTCCTTCCCCAAACTGCGGGAGATCACAGGCTTCTTTGTGCTGTACCGCGTTTCCCACCTCCTGACCCTGCGCCACCTGTTCCCCAACCTGGCCGTCATCCGGGGCGACACGCTCTTCTACAACTACGCCCTGGTGGTCTATGAGATGCTGGAGATGCAGGAGATCGGACTGACGGGTCTGGTGACCATCCTGCGGGGTGCCATCCGCCTGGAGAAGAACCCCAACCTGTGCTACATGGACACCATAGACTGGTCCCTCATCCTGCGGGAGGGGACGGACAACAACTTCATTGTCGACAACAAGGACCAAGGAGGGTGCCTGAATTTCTGCCCTAAGTCGGGCGGCCGGAACACGTGCCGCATGCCGACGGCCCTGGGCACTGTGAGGGAACTCTGCTGGTCAAGTGAGCACTGCCAGAAAGGTAAGTGTTGGATCCAGGTCCTTGTTGTCGCTTGCTAGGGCTGTGGTCAATGCGAGTCCATCTCAGGTCCATCACAAGTTCATCACAAGTCGTCCATCCAGTCTTAAGCCAAGTCAGCCAATTAAAAAGAGATAAACCGTGACAAAAGGGCTCCATTGTCATTATCCTGCTACTTGCCGCTGGTCTTGAGACTGGACTTGCAATTTGGCCTTCTGACTGGACTTGTGGTAGGTTCAACTGTGGCCACATGGCTTGCATGTACAAGGGTAAAAAAACCTATCCCAAATTACATGTATGCCAGTTTCACAAAATGTATCACCATGTCCTAGCTGGACGGCACAGGAAGTATATGTGCCTTAATACTCCCTCCTCCCCATTGCAGTATATCAGTGAACTTGGTCCAAGTGTGATGCTCTCCCAGTGTCTTTTAATCCAGAGCGGTGACCGCTTTACGTCTATATGTACATGCATCCAAATGTGTACTGCAAAAATGTCTGAACAATGAATGGTAATTGGGTACTCCGCAAAGATCAAGTCTCTGCATGTCTTGTGAAGAGTTTTGAGCCCCGAATCTGCTGTGGCACAATGGGGAGATAAGCTCATGAGGGACGGTCTGCCAGGTGCAAATTTTAATTATCAGTGTGGTTTGCAAGGTACTGTACTTGAGCATGTACCCGTACACAGGGCCGTGCTGAATATTCGATCGATTATCGAATATTCAGATTGTATTTTCTGAATTTGAATATTCAAATGCAAAATTTATGAAAAGGATGGGAAAATTTACTTATGTTTTAAATGAGGAAAAATTACTCTATGGAGGCCTGTTTCGAGCAGATCCAAATGAAAAGTGACAGAAATCGTACAATTCAAAAAGTATGTGTACAATGTAAATTATTCATTAAATGATTTAAAAGGAATAGAAATTTTCAACAGGGCAAGAGGTATTGTTCGTCTCTTACGTCTTACTAAACCATGGCTGGAGACACTCCTAGAGACATGAGAAGTTACATGTATGTGTGTACATGTATAACAGTGGTTATAATGTACATGTACATTGTGTGTGTTATTGCAACTGATTTTGTATATGGTTGGTTCATCGACAATCTGCCTGATGGTCCTGTTCGGATATTCGATCGAATATTCGAATAGTGAATTATTTGAATTGACACTCGACCCTACTTGTACACATGTACACTGTTCTGGCTTCCACCACATTAAGAGGACAGTTTCTTGGGGACACTGTTCGGCAAATTAAGACCTATTTATGGGGACATTTCTCTGTCCCTGCAATGTTTTTGATCAGTGTAACGATTAGCTTTTGTCCCCATACCTACGGAACAAGTACACACAATGTACATGTACATTGTACAGTGTGTCTGGGTGCTCTGGTGCATTCGCTCTTTGCACGCTGCCACCACAGGCATGAGGAGCCTTAAACTGGCAGCTTGTACCGGTAAAATGGCGCCAGAATCACATCAGAGCAGCTATTTGAAATATTGTCCAATCGCACGATATAAGAACTAACTCAGCACGCACAAGATTACTAAACTTGTACACGCGAATTATTGAACCAGTTATACATGTATTGAGTAAAGCTGCCAGCTTGGGGCTCTTCATGCGTGCAAAGAGCGAATAGCGCATACATGTGTGAGTTGTCTGTGCCACGTGTGTGCAAACGAGCATTGGCACGTAGTGTTTCTTCAAGGGAAATTGTTGCGTGGACCATGTCCAAATTACATGTACTTGGCTTTGGCGAGACATAATGCATGAGTCTCTGGTAGTGGCCGCAGCCAGTTCCCGTACTGGTAGATTGGTGTGCAGTTCTCAAGCCGCAGCCAAGGTGATTTGGACATTCATGGAGCCCTTGTAGAAATGAGTGTCCTCTCTTGTACATGCATGGAACACACAGTAGCGTCATTTAAGTTATGCAGATACGCGATACACAATACACGTGTTCGTGTACATGTATATGTACATGTACAAGGGATCTGATACATCAACATTATGCAGATTGTGGATTGTGGATTGATTCCCCGAACAAAGGTTACATCTGAATCTGAACAGCGGGAAACCACAACAGTGCGGCAGATTCAGAGCACCGGCAGCTTAGACACGTCACAGGGTCCTTGCGTGTTGCGTATCATCTGTTGGCTGGTTAGCAGATGTGGCAGTGCCGTCTGGCCTAGACTCACGCGCGTGCAGTTGTCTGTAAACAGGCAAATTAGAAAGGCCCGCCCAAATCCCAACCACCTCGCAGGAAGAGATGAGTGCCCACGATGGAGCCGCTGGAAAAGCAGATTTGAAGTGTTACATGTAGCCTATTTATTAGTGAGCTGTACGGCCAGTTGAGTGTGTACATGTACGGTATGGGTACATGTACATCCTACATGTATGCATAAATATTGCATACTTAGGGTTATCCAGAATTTATTCAATTGGTGCTTGGTCACAAATCTCCAGTGCAGTAAACTCAGTACACTTCATGTGTTAACTGGGCAGATGGTCAAATACACATGATTAAAACATTAACCCGGTAGGCCTAATATGCGGGTACAGGGCGTTTTCTCTCTGTTTAAATCTGAACAGACCGATTCGTATACATGTACATAATGTGTATGTTCTGTACATGTACAAAAGAAGTGGCAGTTTACCATTACCATTATTTCAGCTCAAAAGATCTGATAAGCTTGTTTTGATCTGTAGAATTGACAGGCCCTGTTGCCATGGCAATATGGACCCAGATAAGATTTTTCTCCCTGTTTTTTCTAATGTTCATGGGTTTATCTGGCCTTTCTAAAATAAGAGAGTTACATGTACCGGTAGTTTAGCTTTTTTTTTGAGATTGCTCCGTTGACTGTCTTGCTCTGCTGTACTGTTAGCTGTACATGCACCTGCAGACACATGTACATGTACGGTACATGTATGTACATGTACATGTACTGGGGGGTACATGCAGTTGATGTGGCACGGCCCCTAACATGGCGCACTTTCATTTTTCCCCTCTCATGTCTTCCCGGAGCAATATTTTTTACCTCAAATCCCGCAGTTAACAAAACTTCATCAAACTATCAGCACTCTGATTCATAAATCGCGATATTATGTGCACGTAAACACTACAAACTCTGGTGAAAATTTTCTTTTCGCCCAATTTTCTGATTTTTTTTTCCGATGCCAAAATGAAGACTTTCCAAATGTGCACAAAACTACAAAAATAATTGTCTGACAAACTTGTGGATGGGTAGGCCTACATGTGCGCAGAAGGAATGTAGCTTTACAAGGATTGATCAACTTTTTAAGAATTTCGAAGATGTTTATGTAGGATTTCTGAGATTTTTTTCAAGTGCGGCACGTTGAGCCCAATTTTCGGACACTGACATTTTTGGATTTCAGACGAAATTTCATGACTTTGGAATTGTTCACAGAGGTTCAACACCATGTTTCATGAGGGCTCTGGTATGAGTATTTAACCAAATGACTTTGGAGTTTTTCAACAGAAAGGTTTGGCAAATGCGGTGAGAGAAAAGTCAAGTGAAAGTTGAAATGTGCCACGTTAACCCTAACCCCCTAGGCTCCTGCACTAGAAAGCATACTGAACCTCACAAAATCCAACAGGTTCATGTACTCCAACAGAATGAGCCCGTTGGAGTTTGAGTGATATGGTATGGATGGGTCTATGCAGTATAGGATGACTTGCACTGAACAGTACCAAACCTGACAAAATCAAGCATAGTCCAACAATTGGTACAGCAAGCCAGACACTGCACACGGTGACCCGTGTGTGTCGCAACTCACACAGAATCCAACACCATCTCCCTGGGCCTTTCATCCCAAGTCTCACAAAATTCAACAAGAAGTTCCTCAGGTACAGTACCAAACCTGCCAAAACCTCACAAAACCTGCTGTTGGAGTATATGTATGGCAGGTTTTGGGCAGTTAGGGTTAAGGAACTCTACTACCGGTACATGTACATGTACGTTTGTAGTTTTGTTAGTTTTTTTCTGGCCGGCACCGGTGTGTGTCCTTAAGTCTGTGCAGAACCCTCTGAAGACCTGTTTTCAACTGTCAAGGCATTTCCTTGCCCAGAATCTTGTAACAGATGAATGAAATTTGCGCCAATTTTGTAAAAGAGGAATCATCAAACCCTCCTTACAGTCATGACATTGGTGCACATGTAAATGCATGTACATGTTCATGTACATGTGGCAGGAAAATGAGACATGTAGAGGTTGAGATGGCATGTACAGTGTACATGTAATTCATTTGTTACTGAGTCAATGTAATTGGGACTTGACAAGTAGCCAGCATGATTCACATTGGGACTTGAGCTGATGTGTGAACTAAAGACCCGTGGGGCAAGATTTTTTTGTTGCAACAGACTTGGAAATCTAAGGCATCTGTCATGTCTGACTTACATGTACATGTGTCCCAAACATCAAGTACTAAATTTTGCCCCAATTGGGCTCAACCTCATGATACACATACATGAACACCCCCTCCAAACCATCTTGATCCATGATACGGGACTCACCCTGCCCAGACCAGTCCAAAAAATATCGGCAGTAGGCAAGAAAGTCAATAGCAAAGCTGCCAACCTTTAAACTACCGGTTACATGTACATGTATGTATTTCAGTATTCAGAAACACAATAATCAGTATACATGTACATGTACATGTATTGCTCAGATATTTTTGTTTCTATGAGACAGTGGCTCTGATGTACATGTACATGTACGGTATACTTGAAAACCAGTACACTGGTTTCCATGCAGCACTGTCTACATTACACAATAATAGGACTTAAAAAGTGAGAGTGAAGTTGAACTCAAAAATTTGGTGAATCGCTGTTTTCAGGTTTAAAATCTCAGAATTGCTCCATGGTACATGTACATATACAGTACATGTACATATACGCTCCCGTACGCTGCACAGTTAATATGGGGGGGGGGTGTTGGCCAATAACGATAGTATTGTTTTTGATGTAGGTATTGATTAACACCAGC